GATGGAGAACTGAGCAGTGACAAGGACACAGAGCAGACCAGGCCATTCAATCATTTTCATCTAAAGAGGGAGGCAATTTCCTTTCGATTAGATAAAAGTAGGATATGTGGCAGGCTGCCAGACCTTGATCCAACATGACAAGGTCATGAATTCTTTACATATTGCTCAGAACATTTCTTCCTATGTCTCAGGAAAACACAACTTACAAAAGCAAGAAAACATTTCATCCTAGCTAAATTCTACATTGGTGCACTTGGAAAACCAAACCCAGCTCCATGAAATAGCACTTCTCTCTCCAATATGGTATCAGATGAATACTCTGAGTTTGGAAAGCCTTGTTTTTGTTTTCAAGAGAATCATTTTCATCATTGCTTTTGATGGAGAACAAATTTAGCTAATCTGCAACTCTTCCCTTTTCTCCAATAATTTCAGTCTGCTAAAGTTACTAAGCCAGCAGATAGAAAATAAAAAGCATGCAAGAGAGTTTGAAGCAGCCTTGCAAAGATAAGGCAAGTTCTTGCCATTTTTCAGTTATTCAGGCCTCCTGAGCTATGTTACACCGCAGATCAAGTCATGTACCATTCACAGCAGATATCAGTGTCTATTACAACGGTGACTCCTGCTGGCAAGACAGCCAGTGTGGCAGCACCCCTAGGAAGTCAACAGTGAGAGGTTGTTTGCCCTTAAAGTTAAGCTCTACAACAATTCAACAGTGAGACGGGTCAGAGACAGGTAACATCATTTGATGTGATTGTAACTGGACAAATATAGTGACACATTCAATAAAGGTACGTGTCCATCAGAAGCAGGCTGGTCAGCAGGGAAAAAATTCAGCGGAAGGGGAAGAAGCCCGTTGGCAGTGCCCAATCAAGCATCTGCAAGGAAGAGAGTGCCCACTGGAGATTGGCGGGACCTCCCGAGGGAGAGAAGGCACCGGCCACACTGCCTGAGTATTCCACGCGTCCACCAAGGCAAGTACGGTTCTTGTTGTGGGCTGTGATTGCCGCTGTTCACTGCACATGGCAGCATCAGGAAAGGCCGGCAGGCTTAGCCCAACACCAAAAGAACCCACACTGCTCCCTCTGGGAGGCACACACTTGGGGTCTTGAGGTTCCTCTGTGGGTGCAGAGAAGCACCCACATGGAGGCAGGCTTCCCATATTCTCATGGGAAGACAATTTTCCCACCTCAAAGCCCAGACCAGGACAGGTGTCTTAGGCAGGACATAAGATTATTTTTGCATGGAACAGATGGCAAATCGATCGTGAAGGGGGATGGCTGAATGTGATTTTGAAGTTTCTAGCACTGATGTCTGGGGTATTGGTGTTGCCTTTTATCAAGATAGCACAGACAAGAGGGATTTACATGAGGAGGCGGCGAGTGAGGGAATGTGGCCTGTGAGGTGTTGGTGAAGAGCTGTCTAGGAGACAGAAGGGAATGAGTCTTAGACTCAGGCCTTGAGACAGTTGGGAATCATAAGCATAAACGTAAATGGAGCAATCATTTGCAGTTTAGAGCAAAATCCTATTGCGTCCTTTTGTGCCTCATAGTTGTTGGGTTGTTCATTTCCTGATAACTCTTTTTGGGGAAAGCAATTTGGTTGGACATGTAGGTTGAGAGAAGATGTCCTCCTGGAATAGCTCAAGTGGGAGAAGGTAAGAAGAGAGATAAATAAATCACTAGGTATAATAAAGTGAAAGAAATATTGAGTCTCCTTGGACAGTCCTGGAGAGAGTGGACGAGAGCAAACAGCGATCTAAGGAGTGTTGGCAAAAACACAGTCAGGATCCAAGGATTGACACAGCCAATGAGGTACCCCATCAATGAAGAGTGACTGATATTCAAAGGGAAGTGGTTTCCTTCTCTGTGATATACTTGTCTTTCGTGTTCCTCTAATGGGCTGCAGGGTCAGAGCACTAATCAGGATGACCAAACCTACAGAGACCTTTGGTAGTGGCTAATTAATCACGCTGCCCCTCAAACAGAAATACAGGGCGGCCACTAAAGTCATCCCTGATCCATACGAGCAAAACTATCTCTAGAGCTGGTGGACAGAGATCTCACTAGTCATGTAACAGACAACCACATCCCTCCCGCCACTCCCAGGACTGAGCCAGTTGACAGACCCAGACCCTCCTTCATAAAGAGACGGCCAGGTCCCCTGACCCTCAAACAGAGTCTAGTATGGTGGAAAGGGCAAAGTAGAGACCAACAGAATTACTTCTCCTCCAAGACAGTTAAACCAAAAGCAATACTGCACTACTGGGGGAATTTCAGAGATTAGTCACATGACCTGTGCCCACTTGCCCTGTGAAGAAGACAGAAGGAACCTGGTGAGTGGCCACGGACGGTCAAAAATTTCATCAAATAATGTTCTCAACTGCAGATGCTGCTCCAGATGTGGTTTCTTTATTGGAACCACATCCTCTGGTCTCTGGCCTGCAACTGCTGATCTGGCAGACCACTTCTCTCTACCTGCTGCAAACCTACTGAGCAGTCTGCCTTCACCTGTCAGGTACTGTAGTACAGCCTCATGGTCTCGTGTTGGGACTCTGCTACCTCTCCAGTTCTTTGGTACAATCTAGAACTCACAGCCATTGATGGTCTTGTCACTCCACAGGACATCGTGACTGTCCACCCACTAATGATATAATGCTGACAGGGAACAAAAGATAAACTAGATGTCTTGAAGAAATATACAAATGCCAAAGAGTGGGACATAAAACCCACAAAAACGCAGGGGGCTCTGCCTTGAAGTTTCTACAGGTCCAGTGATAGGAGAACATGTAGATATATCCTGCAAGGGGAAGGAGAGGTTGCTGCATCTTACATCCACTGCCACTAAGAAAGACGCAAGATACTTAGTGAGCCTCTTTCGGGTTCTGGAAGCAACATTTACCAGATTTGTGCATGCTGTTCTGACCATTTACTAATTGACCCATAAAATCACCAGTTTTGCACGAGGTCCAGAATAAGAAAAGGCTCTACAGCAGGCTGATGTGAAAGCTGCTCTCCCTCACTCAGTGGTGCCACAGATCCCACGGTACACAAAGAGCCTGTGGCTGATCAGGATGCCACATGAAGCCACAAACTGACCCACACAGCACAGACCCCTAGGGTTCTAGGACAAAACCATGATTATTCCACAGATTACTCTCCTTTTGAGAACCAGCTCTTGGCTGCCTTCTGGAATCTGGTAAAGACTAAACCCCGCACCTCACCACGCAACACCTAGCTCCCACACGACCTGAGCTGGTCACAGTGTGTTATCTGACCCATCACATCATCAGGTTGGGAAATTGCTGGAGGACTTCATTGTTTAACCAAAGTGTTATCTACACAAGATTGGGCTCAAGTATGTACTGACAGCACAGATTACACAAGGAAATGGTTCAGATTCTCATAGCACAGACACTGCTGCATTGACAAGGCCCCCTCATCATGTACCCCTGGTCTCATGGAGTTTCCTACCATCAGCTGCCTGAAGTAAACAAGCTACATTTGATTTCTGCAAACTATGCTGACACCATCTAAAAGTGAAAGTTGGTAGCATTATAGCCTCAAAAGTGGCCAAAAAACTCAGTGGAGGAAACACTACTAGGTCAAGCACCACACGTACTTGTTCACTTTACCTGGAAGGACCGACAGCCATAAGTATGGATCTACATCAAAGTAAGCAACGAGTAACAGTTTGGCCCGGTGGTCAGGGTCTTGGAAAGAACAAGTTTGTAAATCAGTGGTAAGTGGAATCTAAATTGTTGACAAGGATTGAGGAAGAGGTAAGGGGGCAGACCTCTTGAAACAAGCAGAATGTGCGGATGTCTGTGTCCCATGTGAGTGTTCACCACTGGCATTCAGGTGACACAATGACCTGTCTGTGGTTGTAACTTTTCCTCACCAGTGTCAATGGGCTCACAGAAAGCCTTACTTGCTGCAATGGTTCCTACAGCACTGCTTCTAAGAGGTCCGCTTCACAGCAGAAGTTCAGCAATTAGGTCCGTGGACTATACCGATCTCAGCACAGCCTCCATAATTCAAAGCAGCCAGCTGGAGAACATGGTGGATGGCCTCCTAAAGACCAGTCACGATGCTGGCTGGGGGCGATGGCTCGTGGGGCTGCTGTCCCACCCAGCAATTGCAATGTGCCTTATGCCCTGAACCGTCAGTCAGCATGTGGTGTGGTTTTTCCCATCATCAGAATACACAGGTCAAGGAAGCACATAAAGTGGTGGCAGTTCCTCTCACTATGCCCCTAATGAGCCACTAGCTCACCTCACAATTCTGGACTCTGCTGGTTCAGACGTCTTCGTTCCTAAAGAACGAACGTTTCCACAAAGGGACACAAAAAGCATCCCACTGGCCTGCAGGCCAAGAGGCTACCTGACTGCATTGGCCTCATGCCAATGAAATGATACACAAAGGGCAGACTATAACAGCTTGGGCGATTGCTCCTCACTTTCTTACGGATAGGGCTGCTACCATAGATGGGGACAGGGAGGAGTATGTCTGGAATTTAGGAGATTCTGTGGGGAACCTCTTAATATTTCCATTTCCAGTGATAAAAGTCAATGGAAAACTAGAATTACACCAAGCAGAAAGACTTCTAATGGGAAGACCTTTCAGGAACGAGGTTTGGCTCAACCAGGTGAAGAACCACAACCAAGAGAGGTACTGGCTGAGGTGAGGGCAAAGGAACACGAACTGAGTTGTATGAAAAGCAATTTTAATATCAACTTCTGCCAGCTCACAGGTGCAAAAGCAAAGTGCACAGTAGCTCTGCATATTTTTTCACTGGTTTGGTAATTGTATGTATTAGTCAATTCTTTTTTTCCCTTTCCTGTTCTAGTACCAACAGCAGGAGGGTTAATAGTGGTGAATCCTTCCATGGGAGGCTGTGATTGTACAACAGAAGAACATTTCCTAGAGGTGGAAACACTGACCCATGGGATTGGGGTCTCCACTCGTACCAGGGAAAGTTGTCTCACATTAGGCAGAAGCATGATGTTTCTACCGTCTTTACTCAGTAGTTTAGTTTCGGGGGGGGGCAGGTGTTAAGTTGGCAAAGGGATACATGGTGTGTGCTGGAATGTCTGTTGCCACACAGCAACAACCCTTCTTAAGGTCTCCTCTACACTGATCTCTGACAGCAGAGAAGCCAGACACACATGAGGCAGGATGTCCTTCCTTGCAGGGCTGTAGGCTATTCTGCCAGTGAGGTCTGGAAGGTGGAGGATCAAGACAGGCCATGATTCACTGAGGGTGGGCACAGCCCAATGCATATGCAGACCTGGGATTCAAGACAAACCCTTGTAAGGGTTTCCTGAGAACCACTGGCTTTGCTGCTGCCAACTAAGACAGTGGGAGGTTCCCAGACATTCTGGAGAACTGCAGTGGGTGCCCAGGGAACTCCTGAGAATCGCTTTGGTTCTTCAAGTTGAACTGCTGTGGCTGCATCCCTGCCCTTCACTGCTCCAGCTCTTCCAGCTCCTGTACTAAACCCGCCATACCTGGATACATGCGAGGGCTTCTGCTTTCCCAGCCCACGCTGACGGGGAGACTTGCTGCCCGGCCTCCATGATCTACCCCACCACACCTTCCAGGAGCTGCTCATCCCCAGTTCTCTCCCACGAGATGTGGATTGTCAACCTTATTCTCAGCTCCAGGGATGAGGCATGACCGGCCAAGCCCTCCCTCTGCGCCCCAATAGCTGGTCCAGGAGTGGACGTCCAGCAGCCTGACCAGTGAGTGCAGGGCAGGGTCCTGGCCACAGCGATCATTTCAGGAGTATGCATATGGCTAGTAAGAGTGAAGCTACCCATTTCTGGGTAACAGGTGAGTGAAAAGAAGCTCTCTCTCCTCTGGACAGTATGTTACGAGGAGAGGAAACCAAAACTGCTGTAGTCATTTGGTTACCACAAGGGAATCAGGCCTGAGCTTCACACCAACAACTCAGGAAGAGCAAATCAGAAATCTGCAGAGAAACAGATCTTGAATCTTGATTAAACAGGCCCTGGAATCCACCCCACTTTTGGATTTTCAATTTACTTGCTGTTCAAGTCTATCCAAGTTGGATCTTCTGATGTAACAAAAAGCATCCTAACTTACAGGCGTTTTCATAAGACTACTTTGCTTGTGGATTTCTTGGCTAAATGTATTAACATTTGTTTCTTCTCACTGAAAGTCCAAATTTTCAGCAGAGCCGAGTGTGTAAGACTGACAGCTTCATCCCACTTGTTCCTCTCTGGGCTGGTGTAAGCCACCAGGTTCTCAGTGTACTGCAAGACCGACTTTAAGAACCTGTTTTAAAAAAGGGAAATTAATCTCTTTTTCTATTCCATTATAAAATGCAATCATGACTTAAATGTGTTCTCTTCATTTTGGAATTACAACTGAAGTACTGTAATTAATTTTTGTCTGCAAATTCAAGAAAAATAAATTCATACAAAATGGAAATAAGACAATACAAATTAGATGAAAAACAAAAACACTGAGGGCTGGCCCCGTGGCTTAGGGCTGGCCCCGTGGCTTAGTGGTTAAGTGCGCGCGCTCCACTACTGGCAGCCTGGGTTCGGATTCCGGGCGTGCACCGACTCACTGCTTGTCCGGCCATGCTGAGGTGGCGTCCCACATACAACAACTAGAAGGATGTGCAACTATGACATACAACTATCTACTGGGGCTTAGGGGAGGAAAAGGGAAAAAAAGAGGAGGACTGGCAATGGATGTTAGCTCAGGGCTGGTCTTCCTCAGCAAAAGGAGGAGGACTGGCATGGATATTACCTCAGGGGTGATCTTCCTCACAAAAAAAAACGAAAGAAAAACACTGAAATGTCAATGTCATTGGAGAGGTGGATGGACTCCTGTGGTTTCACACAAGTCAACTCTTTCCAATCCAGATACAACATTTTTAAGTGATGGAACTTAATTCCAGAAAGGATCTTAGAGGCCATCTGGATTAAACTGACATGGAATAAACACATAACCTACGTGATGATGAGTGAGCAAGGCTTCCACCAACTCAGGACTCTGTCAGCAGAATGCCTCCCGTTTCCATCCTTGGATGTCCAGCTTCCAGCCTCCACGATGGAGGGTCCATTACTGCAAAGTAGATGCAGTCCACTCTGGGCCACCTACTGCTGTTAGAAAGTTCTTCCTTAAAGATATTTACATCAACATGTTCACAGGGGTGACCTCTGACTGATGGGAATAAATGTCATCCTTATATTTTCCAAGTTCTCCTCACAGTTTCCCAAGTAGTCTGCAATTTTCTCTTTTAATTTTGAAAATTTTCAAACTCAGAGAGAGAAGTTAAAAGAATAAAAAATGAAAATCCACAGATCCTTCGTCCAGAGAGTGGTTCCCAACTGGGAGTGATTTTGTCCTCCAGGGGCTATTTGGCAGTGTCTAAACCACTTTTGGTTGTCACAACTGGGGGTGCTACCGGCATCGAGTGGGTGGAGGCCACGGAGGCTGCTACACAGCCTACAGTGCACAGGACAGCCCCACCACAGAGAACGATCCAGCTCAACACATCAGTAGAGCCGAGGTTGAGAAACCCTGATCCAGAGTCACCAACTACTGACAGTTTGCACATCTGCTGCCCTCACTCTCATCTGGATTCCACGCTTCTTTAATAAAATGTCATATTTTCTTTTTTATAATTTTATTTATTTATTTTTTCCCCCCAAAGCCCCAGTAGATAGTTGTATGTCATAGCTGCACATCCTTCTAGTTGCTGTATGTGGGACGCGGCCTCAGCATGGCCGGAGAAGCAGTGCCTACCCGGGATCCGAACCCGGGCCGCCAGCAGCGGAGCGCGCGCACTTAACCGCTAAGCCACGGGGCCGGCCCTAAAATGTCATATTTTCATGTTCATTTTTTTTTTTAATTTTATTTATTTTTTTTCCCCCAGAGCCCCAGTAGATAGTTGTATGTCATAGCCGCACATCCTTCTAGTTGCTGTATGTGGGATGCGGCCTCAGCGTGGCCGGAGAAGCAGTGCATCGGTGCACGCCCAGGATCCAAACCCAGGCCACCAGCAGCGGAGCGCACGCACTTAACTGCTAAGCCATGGGGCCGGCCCTTCATGTTCATTTTAAACACGTATTGAGGCGCCTGCTACGTGCAAAGCATTAGCAACATTATTCTCTGGATGCTGTTATAATCACACAGAGTGAGGAATTCTAAAAGCATTGACATGTAAATCATATTTAGTTTTCTTAAATGTGCCTACACAGATGTCAGTTTTAAAGGTTCATGAACTTGCACTGAAATCCACAGAGAAAAACCGTGAAGGGCCCATCAGACTGAGGGCTTAAAAATAAATCAAAGAAGGGCCGGCCTGGTGGCGCAGCGGTTAAGTGCGCAGATCCCGAGCGCGCACTGATGCACTGCTTGTCAAGCCATGCTCTGGCGGAGTCCCATATAAAGGGGAGGAAGATGGGCATGGATGTTAGCCTAGGGCCAATCTTCCTCAGCAAAAAGAGGAGGACAGGCATCGGATGTTAGCTCAGGGCTGATCATCCTCACAAAATAAAAAAAAAAAAAAATCAAAGAAAATAACCAAGAGGAGTAAAAATTATTTAAAATTACCAAAACACAGTTTCATTTCTTGTATGACACACTTACTTTAGATACTGCTGATATTCATAAGTATTTTTTCCTTGAACCTCATGAATATTGACAAATTCCAGTGCAATCAGCAATAAAATCAGGTAAAGCATAGGAGACAGAAGCTTAATACTAAAAACAGAGAAAGTAAGTTAATATTTGGCAAATTTACGTATTTTTCACTTCCATAAGGAAGAAACACTTCACCTAACCAACCTTTCTTTCAAGGGTCCTTAAATCTAAACTTCTCGAAAGAGCACTCTGTATCTACGGAAGCCCTTTTTCTAATCACCATAGCCTGGCCCCTGCAGACTGTACCAGGATGGCCTGTGGGAGCTGAAGCCCAGTCATTCTCCGCCAGCCGAGTCCCACCTTCCTTACTCTTCACTCTCAGGGCGCCAGTTTTTGGGTGACAGGAGCCAGCTGTGGTCCTGACACTGCTCTCCGGGAGCACCAGGACATCACCAGTTCTGCATCCAGCTTTCCACTCAGTTCTTGTTCTCTTTGCCATCTGTCAGCATCTTTCTTATAATCTGATATTCAGTAAAGGACTTGCACAAGAAGAGAACGACAGACGGCTTAAACATGAAAATGCGCTCAATGTCTCCAGGATTCAAAGAAACTCCAATTAAACTAAGATATTAACTTTCTCGTGAAACCAGTAGAGATTTTTTTAAATATATCCCATTTTGGGAAGGATGTAACATAATGAGGATCATCTTATAAAGTGCCGGCGAGAGCGTAAACTGGGTGTAACCTTTCGGAAGCAACCGAGGCATGCCTATTAAAAGCTTTATAGACGCAGATACCACTCAACCCAAATTTCTATGAATTGGTCCAAAACGGTCATTTCTTAAGGATGTAGCACATTCTAAAATATACAGTGTAAGTGAAGAAACCACAACCCAGGCACACCGAGTTAATCTGTTGTTGTATTTTAAATCAAAATATTCACTTGGGTTGGTAGAATCCATATTCCCATCTGCCGAAATTACAAACGGTATTTTAAAATAACATGCACTGTAACTTTCCCTGAAAGTAAGTATTTCTCTGAAACTAAGAATTAGAACAGCATCCAAAGATAACTCCTGCCCAACAGTGCTTCTTACAAAACAGGACAGTGAGCCACACACCTGCTTAACATGCGCAGAAAGTTCCTCCTCTGCCGGGAGCGAAGCCTCTTCTCCACCCACTGCTGGCGTCTCAGCTCCAAGGTGGCCACCACCTGGCCAGACACGTGGGTGCAGCACATGCTGATGTTCCGGAGCACAGCGAGCACCTCTAACACAGTTCGAGGACAGAATAGGGTTGGGATGGGGATGCTGCAGAGTTCACGGAGCACCTGGGGCCACCTGTGGGTTAGAGAGGACTTCAACGGGGCGTGTTCCACCTCTGATCCTTTGACTTCTAATAGGGCGTGTTCCATCACTGATCCTCTGTCGCTACTGCCCCGCCCAGACCTGCTAGTCTGTAACTTCTGGTGAGGGTGGCCGCTTACGTTCTGTTTTCAGGTCGGCTAGTACAACTGTTAGCCACAGCAGGTGTTAAATACATGCACGCTTAACTGTGGTGAACAGAATACGTACTGACAACTTTTATCAGACAGACCAACATGTGCACAGAGACTATCGAAGCCTATCTAATAATTCCTCTTAAGGAACAATGATAGTGGGATTCTAATGCTACCACCCAGCTTATAAAATTTAAAACACAGAAAATGGCTAAGTGTGTGATCCCAATTTGCTTAATCAATGTTTTACCAATTCTCAGGAAGTCCTGAAACTTACTTCTCAGCAGGGAGATCATCCAAGTCACTAACAACACAGTGATCCTCAGGCATGTGGTGATACAGCTCACAGGTGATTTTTGTAAGTAAAGAGTTGCAGGCATTTGTTTCAGAATTACCTTCTGATCTGAAAAACAGAAAATATTTAAATACACATGACAATAACGAATAATAATGAAGATATAATAATAATGAAGATGCTTTCATTAGCACCTGTACAAAATAATATTTAATGGTTTTTAATTTCATTTTAATGGTTCACAGAGCAAAGCATGTGATGTGAACTTAGTTTCCCCAAATATAAAATGAAAAGCCAGAGGCAGGGTATAAATGATACAACACACTAAAAGCAATGCCCATTATTGACAAAGATAACGTGTGAGTCAGCCAAGCATTACTCCTGCGAGATGAATGTGCTGTATTCTGACTCCAAATTTGTACCTCTATCCCTACTTCTCTCCCGAGCTTCAGATCCCTATTCCCAATTGTCCACTATACATTTCTCGTGGACATCATCCTCCTCTCACAACACCTGCCCCCTGTGCCTGTGTTCGCGCTCTCCACAAATGGCCCCACCACATGGCCGGGCCCTGAGCTGGAGATCACAGCCACCCTTCATTCCCATCTCTCACCTACACCAGTCACCAAGGCCTAGCAGTCCCACCCTGGCATCCTGTCTTCCGATGGCCCTGCTGAAGACGACACCATTTGGAGACTGATGTCGGCAGACAACCGCAAGGCCTCTCTGACCCCAGGGCGAAGCTCACCTGGCTGCTTCCCTTTTGGCTTCTTCGGGCAAAGGCAGCCAGGGCCAAACCCTGATGCTCTTCTCACAGCTCAGCACCTGAGAGGAAAGCATCCACCTGCTTTTAAAGATTTTACAATAACTTTCTAGAAAATATGTTTTTAAATTGTTACAGATGTTGCAATCACTTTCCAGAAAACATATATTTGTAAAATTGCCACAGATCTCACAACATTTTAAAACTCTGTTATTCAATACAATCAGATGAGGGAAAACTGCTGGGGGATGAGCAGGTAGTTGACGTCCGGGGTAGTTGTAAACATGTCCACAAACTCCTCACCCCCCTCCTTTGGGGTCTATGTCCCCTCCCCTGAATCGGGACCAGCTCTGACAAGTGGCCTGTCACACAAGAATACAAGTGAGGAGGGTGCATGACTTCCAAAGCCAGGTCAGAAACAGCAGCACCTCTCCCCAGTTCTCCCGGCCACCACTCTTGGTGAAGCGAGAGATCACACCAGGGCTGCTGCTGCAGAGGCCACATGAGGCCTCAAAAGTGCCCAGAACCAGCTTCTAATCTCAGTTGAGACAGCCCAGTAGAGCTGTTTTCTGACCCATAAAAGTATAAGCAAATTAAATTATACCACTAAATGTGGGTAATTTGCTATGCAGCAGTAAAAACCAGAGCAATGACCTTAAAAAGAACAGGAGACAAGACTGTCTACTAAATAAAAAATGAGTAAATAACAGATGGCAGGAGTAGGAGGCTACAGGACAAGGTGAAGAGCGAAAATATACACTGTGGGGAAAGGAGGGGGCGTCACTGGGAACACGGAAGCAGCAGCCAAGGAGCAAGAGGGCCTGATGAGGCTGCAGATTCAGCAGCTGAGGTGTAAGGGCAAATCCTGTCTTTGTGAAGCTTCTCTTCCTTCCAGAACCTTCACTCCTCCTTTGAAACTTCCCTTCCTCCTTCCCTCCCTTCCTGTCTCTGAAGGTCAGTGCCTGCAGGCAAGTTCTGCTGTCCTCCCTCCTAAGGACTTTTGTTCTTGGAAAGCTCACAATCGCAATCCGCAGTCAGTGCAACTGTGAGCGGTCAACGGCATCAGACGAACATAGCCAATGCATTGCCGCCACACCAGAACCCCCGACACAGGTACCCAGGTTGAACCCTTCTCTCAAACAGCACGAGGATGGTAATGCCTCCAGGATTCTCTTTTTTCTCCACGTCTACTACTGACAACCCCTTCTAACTGATGTCACTTCTCTTAAGCTATCATCAGTCAAACTGGGTCTTCTCAAGGCATTGTTTCTCTCAGCTGCCTTTGTGGATCTCTCCCTAACCCATTACGTGCTATTTTGTAGCTTCCTTCTAGAGGGCAATCTCACTGATGAATTTCTGAGTTAGCAACTATCGTGATTATTATATTCTTAGGATGACCCTATTTTTGCCCCCTTGTACCTACTATATGTAGAAAAAAGTACTTAAGCTAATTTCCAAACTGGAATGTCCTGGCAGAAATGCTTAAAAGTTTATTGTTTTGCTTGTTTGTTTCAATTTATAAGTTAACAAGAGCTGGTAAAAGAAAATTAACATTCTTCACAACTGAGAAGCAAACACTGTTACTAGTCCTGGGTTAATGATAATAATAATAGCCTGCTAGGGCACTATGCTAAACACTTTCCAATAGTCATCCACTTCGTACTAAAAACACCCAACAAGGCAGACAATACCATTACTGCAACTGCTGGACGCGGAACCTGAGGCTCAGAAAGACTGAGCAACTTGGCCAAGGCCACGCACCCAAGCGACCACACAAGGCCATGTAACTGAATGACGCACTATGGTTTGAAAGCCAGACGTGCCAACCCGGAAGTCCAGTATGAGGCTGACCCATACTCTTGGAACACCTCTGCAAAAGCTGACATGCACACATCCCCTCCCAAAAGGCCTGCATGTGGCATACCTGTTTTTTAAGCCAAGACACTGGATGAAAGCGAGCACTGTAGCCTTCTGCAAGACTCATCAGTGATTTTATTGCTACTTTCTCCTAGGTTAGAAAAAATAGACATTAATTACTGCAACTTTTGGTTAGGCTTCCAGTTTTCCTCTGTTGAATTTTAAGTCACACAAGAGTCCTGATTCTTCATTCTTTTCCTCCACATAATTCTATTCAGCTATAACAAAGCAGCGAAACTCTTCATTAAAATAGGCTTGACATAGCAATCAAGTCATAACCAATAAAACTTTTAAACAAAGCCTATTAGCAATGATAAGTTACAAAGGCAAATCCACTCTCTGTCCACAACACAACAAAACTAGAAACAAATAGGAAAAAATGAAGAGATTCCAAACAATTGGAAAATTTAAGAGATTCTCCTAAAACATAACAGGAATTTAAACAGTAAAAATCAATACAACTAAAAGAATTACATAGCTATAAATACTTAATTGCTACACATATAAATACTGAAAAAAGAGTAAAAATAACATTATTTACAGCTGACATAACCATACAACCGGAAAATCCAAGGTGGCTGACTAAAAATTATTAGAAATAAGAAGAAAAGTCAGTGAGTTGATAGTTGACAAATTTAATTACAAATGTCAACAGCTTTCCTACATATAAGCAGTAACTACCTACAATTCTCAACAGCACAAAGCAAGTAACTAAAATAGCTAGATGTTGCATGAAGAAAAAATGCACTTAACCTTTCATTCACTCCAATACCTACGAAGGCCTACCGCACAGAAGGGAGCATCTGGGCCCTGAACACAAAGCAGACAAAAGTGCACCCTTACGGGGTCGACATCCTACTGGGGCAGCCAGACACACACGCTGCGAAGGCTAGTGATTGACGCCTATGGTTTGGCTGGGGGGGGGGGAGCAGTGTGGGAGTTGGGGGGCTAGAGATCAGACGTGGCACATGTTCTTAAGGAAGAGGACTGAGCACAGAATGTGGAAGAGCCAGGAAAGGGCTCCGGCCTCTGGGTTGAGCAGCCATGTGGAAGGACGGTGCTGCCACCCAGGTGGGGAGTCTGAGGGAGGGAGGCCTGAAGAAGTGGAGACACCTGTGTCAGGGAGTAACATTCAGTAGTGCAAAAAGGGTCAATTATCCCCAAATTAATCCATCAGGAGCTCATTCCTACAGATTTTAAACTGAATTCCTGAGGACTCTCACTTTCTACATTAATTTTTCTATCTTACTTGAACTATTAAACAAGTTTTACAATAATTGTTACACATATAATCTGAAAAAAAGACTAAATGATCAATAACAAGCATTCTAACCTAAATTATTTGTTTCAAAATAATAAAAGAATTACAGTTTATTGACAGATGCAAATATTTCACCCTACCAATTTAACAGACATCTGTAAAAATTTCCAATATATTTAGTTAATCCTGTTTCATACTTTGTTCTTTGGTTTGCAATATCCTGTCACTGTTAAAAACAAAGGTAAATGTGTTCTTAAGAAATGGGTTAAATTATTTTAGATTAGATTTAGTAATACTGATTTATTTGTTAAAGAGAATACATGCATACATGTAAACAAGTCACAATTATGTGCTCTGATGGGGGTATACTGTAATTCAGATAAATTATGAGAAAAAATGATCAAGAGTTAATTACATTTGAAAAATAAACTATATTCTTTCATAACTGAATGACAGTGGACCTAATTGTTTTCTTCCCTATACATTACCTTAAACACTGACAATAGATCTTCATCAACAAATCTCAGTAGAAGTACAACAGAAAATGCAAGCAGTTGATCTGTTATTTCTTTCGGAAATCCAGCTAAGTTGATTTCCCCGTGGCTTAAATGATCTCTTATACGAGGACCCTCCTGATGGTTCAGGAAATCCCAGAGAAATTCCTTTCAGAAAATAAACAGAAAAAATATTTTGTTAGTATTCTCAGCAGAAGAAAGAAAAGTACCAAGGCCCAGAACGGGCCACACGTGACACGTTTAAGGAGCAGCAGCATTCACGTACAGACGAGAAAACTGAGCCTCAAAGAGACCGAGTTCATCAAGGCATATAACTGTGAAGTGCCAAGCTGGCAATCTCCTTGGGAAAAAGGGTTCCCTGGTCTCTCTAACTGCACCTTGCTGCCTGGATCAAGACCGACAAGAGAATCTGAGGACTAACCACTAAGGGTGACAGACCTGCACAGATGGCTCCAGTGTTAGTAAGACTCACCCTCTCTCATTCCCACCCTTCTCCAAGGAAGAAAACCCAGTGGTCCACATTTGGAAGCTAACTTTCCACTCAGTAAAAGAAGCCACTGCTGTGCTCTGGCATAAACACAGCCCTCGCTTCTTCCTCTCCTCATGCCTCTCCCTTTCTTCTGTGCCCTCTCTCAGGTCACTCTTTCATCTTTGAAGCCCGACGAAGACGGCTGCTTCTTTCTTACTAGCACAAGTCCAAGGCCTCTCCCACAGGGCAGAGGAAAAGGGTCAGAAACCTCTGACGAGGCAAACTGCGAATGGACAGAAGAGTCACAGAGATTTAAGACGAAAAAGAGTATTAAATAAACTAGTTCAAGCATCCTAACTTCCTGATGGCAGGAATGAACACCTAAAGGGAATCTAACTAGTGTCACTCAACAGGAAGTAGAATCTAGGTTGCTAACTCCAAGTCAGAAGGAATAAATATAAAAATTCCATTTACAGTCCAAAGTAGTCACTGCAATATCCTCATAAAATACAAAAAGAGGATAAGAGAAAATGGCTCTGAACAACTAATAACTTTCTTTTCATACAACACGCAATCTTAGTCACATTTGACTGTTGTTGTAGCTCATAAAGCAAACATAGTCCCTCTACCAGCACAATACTAGAACCAACAAATCCAGCATTCAGGAACAGAGCAGCTACATTGTCAGGACTTAGAAAAAGTATATTCAAATAGTGAGCATGGAGCACAGCACAGAGCTGGCGTCCAAGCTTAGTGAACGTCTGCTGCACAGGATACGCATGGGAACGGCTCAGAAGCACTTTTTTTGAGCATATCACAAGCCAGAATTAATTGCATTTTGGAGAAGTGATAATCACATCCATAAACACAAGAATATTACAGTGGAAAAGACTGAATACTTTACCATCGCAGGTTCTCCCAGGAAAAGAGGAAGTTGATTGATTTTGCCGTCATTCAAGTGTTTTGCCAATATCTAAAACACCAAACACAAATGAGCTAATTAACTGGTACACACACATAGCATACAGGACTTTTTAGAATCAAAGCTAGAGTACTTTTGGTAAGACGTGTTCTATAAGTCCCAAGCAAAATGAATGAAGTAAGGACAGTCTTAGTTCAGGAAAACTTTTTGTAATCAGTATGACTTTAAGCATATATATCTTAACTATGTGGGTGTGTATGTGTGTTAATGTGTGTCTGTGTATATCTGTGTGTATGTGTATATGTATACGTGTGTACACAGAGCCAGCCCTAGTGGTCTAGTGGTTAAGATCCGCACTCTCACTGCCCTGACCCAGGTTCGTCACACTGTGGCAGCTGCGTGTTGCTGTGATGCTGAAAGCTATGCCACCAGGATTTCAAATACCAGCAGGGTCACCCATGGTGAAGAGGTTTCAGCAGAGCTTCCAGAATAAGACAGACTAGGAAGAAGGACCCTACTTCCAAAAAACTTGGCCACGAAAACCCTATGAATAGCAGTGAAGCATTGTCTAATATAGCGTCAAAAGGTGAAAGGATGGCACAAAAACACCAGGTAGGGTTCCATTCTGCTGTCCATGGGGATGCTAGGAGTCGAAATCAACTTGATGGCACTAAGAACAAATGTGTATGTATGTGTTTTGTGTATTTATAAGTATTATGTGCATATATGTGTGTATATATACGTAGATGTGTACTTACAGGTATATATGTGTATATGTGTATTGTATATCTGTGTATGTGTGCATATATATGTAAGTATATATGTGTACGTGTATGTGTGTATATATTCATATATATGTATATGTGCCTTTGCATTTGTTTATGTGTCCTTACATGTATACGCGTGTATGCATATACATGTATTTGTGTAATTATATGTATACATGTATATGCATTTGTGTATTTGTGTATGTGTGCGTGTGCATTTATATGTATATATGTGTGTATATTTATATGTACATTTATGTTTGTGTACTTACATGTCTATATGCCTGTATATTTGTGTGCAATTATATGTATGCATGTGTTTGTGCATTTATGTGTACTTACATGGATATGTGTGTAATTATATGTATATGTATATGTACATGTGTTTAAGTATAGTTACTTCATTAGTCACTTCTTAACTCATCGTGGACTTTGGAACCCACCATCCAATCTAGTCTTAGAGACCTAATCCTACACAGATTTGACTATGTTATCTGATTTAATCCTCACAGCATCAAACATATTATATATTTAAATAATAGCAAATTATATACATAATGGAATAAACTCGGCAGGTAAGCAGACACATTTTTTAATTCACCCACCACTATTCACTTAGGAATCTAATAGTTGTCTTAAAGGCAACATGATCTTGTGGGAGATCAAGATTTGGCCACCCTGAAATATATCTCTTTAACTTAATTGTTTTCTCTGACGGACATTTGACCTTCCCCACTAACTGCCTAAAGAATTTGACATAGTAACTCCTTCCTGGAACAGATCTTCTATCTGATGGCTGTAATATAATGTAAAATAGATGTCACAATAGAAAAGGCACCAACAAGCCCATCTTATCGGAAGTTCTTTCTGGCCACATTCTCTGGATGGCCCTGCGAAGAGTTGCCAGACAAACATTTACATTTATGAGGGAAATCTCCATTTGTAAAGGTATCTCCCTCTCTGTATTGGGAAGAGGGGGGATGACCTCATTTCTAGAAACTTATCAATGTGGAAGGTGAGGCCTTAAATCTGCATAATAACCTTACTCTTGTTTGCAGTGCTTTAGTGGTAATCTCCTGTAACTGAGACCCCCCACTCCCAACATCCTCCTTTGTCTTTAGCTGAAGATGGTATTTAAGACAAGAATTTCTGCTATTGTGTTGAGAAAAATGCAGTGTCCCTGGTTTCTCCCATGTATACATGTTATTAAACTTGGTATTATTTTCTCCTGCTAACCTGTCTTGTTAATTATTTGGCCAGCCATAAGAACCTTAAGGGAAAGGGCAGAGGGGGATTCTCCCTCTTCCCCCACAATCTGAATGCCCAAATCTCTATCCATGGACTTTCCCTTTGTTTCCTCCTGTCAGCTAACTCCACGGTGTCATACTTTAGGGCATAAGAATTACTATCCAGGATCATACACACAAAAGCCTCTGTATGAGTGATAAAAGGCTTTTTCAATGGTAATTTTTACTAGTTCAGATTTTTACCTTCAGAATCACACCAATTCACAGATTAAATGCATCAGTGCATACTATATACTCTTAACAGTAGTTGATGTGTATTTCGTGTGTAAACAAAGTGTTAACCTTAAATCAAAAATGTAAGCCCCTAAATAATTGTAGCATATAATGTTAGTATCTCTTGGCATTTTCCAACTCTGACCTTTCTATAACTTTAGACTCTAGGTTAATAATATTGGGTCTCAGCCTGAAAACTATATTTAACTCTATAATAAGCTTTTTTATTTTTTCACTTCTATGACTATCAACATTTTCCTGTAAGCACACAACTCATGGCTGATCTTTAATTGTGTATTTTCATTTGTATGTCAAAAGAACACAATGTTTTTTTTTTGTTTCAGAATACCTAATAAGTTTACTTACTTCATCAAGGGTGGTATAAAGAGCTGTCGACTTCAGAAAAGAAAAGAAAAAAAATAGTTAAAGCAAAATACAAGTAAAGTGACATTATTCAAAGTGGGAAAAAATTCTAGTACACGGCCACAAATAGGAAACTTTCTTTTGAAAATAAATCTTTATCTAGCAACACTGGGAAGAATGTCATTGACAACATAATGCCTTATAAAAGACATGAAAATACAGTAAGTCTGGCAGTGGCCATGTTAGGATGCTGCCCTCACAAGGACATTAGCTCAGATACTTCTAACGTTTATGATCCCAAAACTTCACAAATCACTACTCACACAGAGTATTTCTACTTATGGCTGGTATTTGTGTGCCAGTGAGCACAATTGACTATTTCCTCCAACAAACAGCCTTTGTTTTTCATCTTCTTGATGTAATCAGTACAGAGTTTACAGAAACAGGCTCTGGGGCCAGGCTGCCCCAGCATTCTAATCCCAACTTCAGCCCTTTCTAAAGGGAAACCCAGGCCACCTCCACACACTCAGGTTTCTCTGCAAAATGGGACATGAGTAATGCCTATCTCCAAGGCTGCTGGGGAAGTCAGTAAGATTTTACACACAGCTTGATGAAATCAATATTTTGTGGAAGCCAGCTCTCGAGAAATGTGTCTTACTTATTAGTGCTTATTAATGTACTTTCAATTTAATATTATCAAATGTTCTTCAACATTTAGTACTGTGCAGATAACTCTCAAGTCTGTATCGTTAGCTCCCAAATCTGTACTGCTGACCCTAAAATTTTTCCTGAGCTCTAAACATCCAATTGCCTGCTAAATATCCTCACAACTTCCTCAAAAAAGCTGAACTTTTCATTTATCTCCATCAACTACATGCATTAACTTCTACCTTGTTACCTTGTTTTATGCGATTGGTGTAAATCTCTTATCCCTCACCCCTAACACATAAGCTTCTTAAAAGTCATCAAGTCTTACTCATCTTCTCTTCCACTGATCTCGAGAAGACTTTACAATAATAAGTATCCAATAAATAATAATAGCATTTGCATAGTTTCACAAAGTATTTTCATATATGTATTGCCTTATAAATAAACTGATGCTATCTTTACTCTGGATAAAAGCCTGAGCTAAAATTTAAGAAATTCTTTGATAAATTACATCCTCTGTGGAAACAAACACTATTTATTTGTACAGTCAAATGACAAGTGAGTAACCAAATTTATTTATCCCACACAGCTGCACAGTGACTGATGACGCTGCCATGAAGTCAGGTCCAGGCATACTCAGGTGAGAGTTTTGAGGTCTGGGGTTCTAGCTCTTTCCACTGGAAGACTGATGCTTCACTCCACATCACTAGACGGCGAAGCCTAGGTGAAAGTCACTGAGCATGGGCACCAGGGGGCACTAATGTGAATGTCCCCTCTCAAGGCACCTGCACCAGAGACCTCTACAAAAATGCACATAAGGCAAAGCAGAACTGCCTCGAGATGAAACAGAAACAGAACACAGAGAGGAGCAGCTGTTAAATCCGAGCAGATGAGGCTCTGGAAGATTATTATCGGGCCTGAAGCAGTCAGGAGGGGAGAGTGGGCAAAGTATTAGGCAAGACATGCATGTTCAGGAGCTAGTGAGGAGCCTAAATTATACTGGAGGAATTGGACGAGAAACAAGGTGGAGAAAGGCTGGGGCCACTCACTGAGATCCTTAAGTACCAGGCAAGAGTGTGAATCTTATTGGCAGGAGTTGGGATGCCACTAAAGGTTTTTAAGCAGATGAGACCATAAAAGATCTAAGAATAATTATTAGTTTAGAAAATAATTAGTGGCAGTGTTAGAATGGAAAAGAGGAGGAGGAGAATCATGAAGACCAGTTAGGAGATGGGCTCAGGGGAGCATGAAGAGCCAGGTGAGGCCTCAGCATTGAAAAGAAGGGGCACAAGGTAAATCAGGGACAGAACCAATGGGCAGAGCTGGAGACTGACTGGACAAGGAGAATGAAGTGCAGGCAAAGCACAAGATGATGCTAAAGTCTGGTACCAGAGCAATAGAGAGGATAAGGATCATAAGGAATACCAGAGAACAGATTTGTGGGAGAAAAAATATGCTTTTTTGAAATAAAGTAAATTTGAGATGCTGGGGAAAACTCATATGAAGGTATTCAGCAAACAGCTATAAATCTAACTCGGGAGATAGAAGAACTGTGAGGTAGAGACAATGCCTTGCTGATCACTGCAATTTAATGCTATGAATTGGCTGCTTAGCATGGCTTTAGCTGCATCAACAACTTTTGATACGTTGAGCTTTCATTTTCATTAGATTCAAAGTATTTTCTAATTGTTGTTGTTCCCCTAGAGGTAATAGCTGAAGGCATGGGATAGTGTGAGATCTCCCAAGAGGGAAATATATAGAAAGGGCAGGGTTGAGAACAGAATTTTGAGGAATGTCTACTTATAGGGGCAAAAACAATAAGCTGAACTAATGAAAGAAACGAGACTAAAATGTGTGGCAGATGCTGCTGTTCGTCCCATAATACATACTCTCCCTTTCCTCTACCTAATGGATTCTCTGATAATTAACTGGGCACCAGCCACTCAGAAACATCTCCAAGCCTCCCCGGCAGTTTTGGCCAAGAGGAAGCAGTTGTCCTTAAAGAGGAGCATGCTGCAGACCACAAACCACATCATGGGGTTACAACAGTACACCAATAATTACGGCTACAGAGAAAAACTAAGTGGTTACTACTTTTATGACATCATTAGTTTAAAAGACTACTTGGAAATATTATGGAACTATCAAAAATAATAATATATAAATATTAATCATATAAAATCATTATAATAGGGACCCACAAAAAAATGACAGTGGAGTCTTCCAAAGAAAGTTCTTAGTTAAAAAATTCATTTAATGGTAAACAAAAATAAGACATTAAAAAATTTTAATTAGGCAGAGAAAACTGTCAATACAGCAGCAACAACAATCACCATCAATCATTAAAGCATGTGTACCTCGGCAGTCAGAAGTCTTTTTGGACATTTGTTAACTGTGGCAAAAACTTTCCTAAGTCCATTTTCTAGTTGTGTCAGTAACAATATGGCACAGTCAGCAAACCTGTAAAATTGAAGGAAAATAAGCAAAACCCCATGTTTTAAAATAAACATTGGCACCAACACCACAAGAACGGTTTTGTATTCCAGATACAACCAATGTGTGCTCAAAGCAAGGAGGGTGATATTACTTGCTAATACGAGAAACAAAACCAGAATCAAAGTCTCAGTAGACTAGTGATTTTAAAACTATTTCCCAGTGTTTTAATGTATGATGAAACATTTGTAGTAGCTTCAGTGGACTAAAATGTCATCAAAGACCTGCCTAACTCATGACTTCTAAAAAATATTCAAATACCAGGATTTCAGAGGGTTCTCAAGGTGTATAAATGAATGTATCAGGATACTGTAACCAAGACAACCGACCTCCTGATGTCCATGTGAGTACACTCTGCTTCTCAGGGAATACAAAGACAAATTTCCTTCCTCTTTGTTCTATGATTCTCTAACACTGGACACAATGTTTCACTCATAGTTAGAACTTAAAAAAATACTAAAAAGTTGATTCTAAAAACCAGTTATCTTTATCAACTGTAATCAAAGGATGACACGTAACATTTAAATCACCATTACAAGATATCTTTTTTTTTTTTTTTTTTGTGAAGAGGACTGGCCCTGAGCTAACATCTGATGCCAATCCTCCCCTTTTTTCTTGAGGAAGATTGGGCCTGAGCTAACATCCGTGCCCATCTTCCTCTACTTTATATGGGACGCCGCCACAGCATGGCTTAACAAGCGGTGCGCGCCTGGGATCTGAACCTGCGAACCCCAGGCCGCTGAAGCAGAGAGCGTGCACTTAACCACTTGCACCACCAGGCCAGCCTCAAGATATTTTTTAATAATTATATGAAGAGGGCCGGCCCTGTGGCTTGGTGGTTAAGTGCGCGCGCTGCGATGCTGGTGGCCCGGGTTCGGATCCCGGGTGCGCATCGAGGCACCACTTCTCCGTTCATCCTGAGGCCGAGTCCCGCATACAGCAACTAGAAGGATGTGCAGCTACGACATACAACTATCCACTGGGGCTTTGGGGGGAAAAAATAAAAATAAATAAAATCTTTAAAAAATAATAATAATAATAATAATTATATGAAGATACTTTATGCTCAGATCTACTCTTGAGTCAGCCCCACTTCTATTTGCTTACACTCCAGCAGCAAGAAAACATGGAGCTAGAGGATTTTAAGAAGGACTGGCCTCCCAACTACCAATAACCACTCTGTAGTACCACCTTTCAGTTACCTCTGTGACTTGAACTTGATTAATGCAACTTCCCAATATGGCAACATGATTTTTAATACAAAAGTGGATTTCTTCATCACTTCTTCTAATACTGAAAGTACCTCACGAGGAACATCTGCAAGATAGCAAATATTTTTGAGCACAATCACACTAGTCAACTGACAAAGATGTCACTTAGGAAGTGATGCCAATGAGCTGACCTCCTCAGGTAGGTAAACTGTAGCCCCTGGGGTAGCACATGCAGTCTGAGAGCACAACCACCTGAACTAGAGCCCCAGTTGGAGGAGACCACAGGTAACCTCGGAAAAAGGGGACGTGGACAACTGCATCTCTTTAGTGATTTAGGCTACAACAGCTTTGAGTAAAGGAGTTCAGGGTTGACCAGCTGATCATACTGACCAAGAAAAGTAAGATATGTTTTCAGAAGATATAGGAACCAAGAGTGAACCCAAAGGCAAACTACAGATTTTGGGTGACTAGGATGTGTCAACGTAGATTTATCCTTGGTAAAAAACCTACCACTCTCGAGGGGGATGCTGATAATGGGGGAGGCTGTGCATGTGTCGAGACAGAGGGTATATGGGAAATCTCTGTACCTTCCTCTTAATTTTCTTGTAAACTTAAAACTGCTCTAAAAAAACAAGGTCTTAAAACTATACATTATTTGTAATAACCAGACTATTAAAAGTGCCCATGGCACAAAAGTCTGAGACCACCAGGACCAAGATATTCTGTACTGTTCCCTTCACGATTTACACCAGCAAATACAAATGTACACCACTACTGCCAAAATGGAAAAGGAATGGGCTTGGAGCAAACATGTGATTTAATTGCTCTGTCAAAGTTTTGTGTCCCCTGCCCCCATTAATTCGGTAAGTGGCTTTGTCATGGGAAAAAAAAAGAAGTTACAGGAGACAATTTATACTACTGGCACTTTTGGCATGATGATTATGAGTACAAAGGCACGAGAGCTAAAAGGAGAGGGGAAGGTACATTACAAAATGTCAACACATCTGGAGGATAAACTAATTCTACCACTAACATTGATTCATGCAGCCGTGACTCTCAAAGGCTCCCAGGACAATCCCAGGGACATCGTGGGAAGAGGTAAGGTTTTATGTGGCAAGTTTCAGAGGTTCTTCAAGCAACTTTCAAAGGCATCTTGCCACTGGAGAATAACCATTCCACCTAAAGAGTTCTAATCTTGATGCTAGTTAATGGCTTTATAAATATCTTTACAAAGATATATTCAGGGAAAAATGTGAAACGCAGAACTTGCCAGGGAAAACAATCAAATCCTCTAAGTTTGTAAAAGTTATGAAAGGTCGATGTGCCAATGTAAGCTTAGTTTGTTGAAGGTAAGTCTTCAGTAGTTGACCCAATCCTGCCGTCAACAATATCATCATTGAACAGTATCTGGTGGAAAATGTCAGAGAGATCTGTTAGAAAAATGAACTCAGTCATACACATAAAAAGCTTTACTTTCAAAAAAAAGAAGTTTAAAATTAAGAAAGCAGAACACCGTTAAATTGCACAAAACTCCCCTAGGTGTAGGAATTAAGCTGTGCGGTGGCTGGGAGGAACAATAATATCTCAGAAACTAGTGAGCTAAAACCTCAGGGTCTCCTCTCCAGCAGGGAGCTGTGACCTGACCCCATTACTCCCATCTGGTTTAACCTCGGAATCGCCTTTGGGGTGTAAGCCCCTGAAATCACAGCCTTGTCACCACCCCACCTATTCTGCTACTGACATTCAGTTTTATCTTCAAAATCCTGTCTCAAAACTCCCTCATCTTTCTCAAGACACATCGTTCCCTGATGTGAAATTCAAGAGAAAGTAAACTCATAAGTATATCAAAAATGAAAGAAAATTACTTCATGAGCAACTTACTTCGGAGGAACTTCTTGAGGTGACGCAAACCCGTGCCATAAGACGTTCCGCAGGTTGAGCCCACACGGAGAGCCAACGAAGACTTTCAGTATGTTCATCTAACCGGGTTAAGGACAGCAGATTATTGAGCAGTTACATAATTAATGAACTACTGAATAAACCAATATAATACTGGGAAGATATTGCTTTCCGCTTTAGAACTAACAGAACCAACAGTCTGGTTACTATACAGTGTAATAATAATAATAATAAACTAACATTTACTGAGCATTTGATATGTCAGACACATTTTGCATGTATTCATTACTCATTCATCATCAGAACGGCCTATGAGGAAGGTACTACTATTACTCCCACTGTGCAGATGAGAAAAATACAGGCACGGAGAGGGGAGACCACAAAGCTATCAAGGGGAATGAGATCTGACCCAGGCTATGCTGCTTTCATACTGCACATCAAATGTGAGTAATATCCAGATAAAATAAAACAGAAAAGGAGAAGCCGAGGGGTCGGCCCGGTGGCACAAGTGGATAAGTGCGCGCGCTCCACTGCAGCGGCCCGGGGTTCACCGGTTCAGATCCCAGGCGCGCACCACAGCGCCACAGCATGGTTCACCATTCACCTGCTTCTGTCCCTCCCTTTATAAAGTGAAGACACGCCCATTACAGGGATCCTGCTGATCGGACTGCAATACTCACACTCCATGGGCTGCCTCTGGGTCTGGAGCACATACTTTAGAAGAGATTCAGAAAAACTGCAAGATGTTCAGACTAAAAGAACTCAAAACCATGTCATATGAGAAAGAAGAGCTGAGCCTCCAGAGGACTAAGGAAAGGAATGGAAGCTGTCTTCATATACCTGAAAGACTGCTGCTGAGAAAAGGAAACAGAGGTATCCCGAATTTCCCTTGAAGTGTAGGACAAGCCAGAGGATGGAAGATATAAAGAGGAGTTTCAACTCCACTTCAGAATGCTTAACAACCAGTTCTTCAATGCCACTCCAGAAAGGCTTTACTCCCACATTAATTTTTAACACTTTAGTATTAATTTAATTTAATAATAATTACAATAATATTAATAACTTAATATTATCTATTTTTAATTTAGTATTTGTTTTTCATTAACTGTTTATACCATCTGGGCAACCAGAAATATATATGCCAATTAACTAGTAAAACTACCCAGGGGCTAAAAGTGGCTGCAGGTAGGCAAAAGGCTAACACCACATAGGCAGGTAATAAGAACAGATCAAAACAACTGAATTTAAGAATTCAGTGTAACAAAGAAAAGTTTGTACTTTATCTTCATTCCATATTCTCCACCAAAGAAAATGATCTTTAAGCTGACAAAGGGTAAGGAACCACCGTGAAGAGTGGGAAAGCTGGGGGCCGACCCAGTGGTGTAGTAGTTAAGTTCACCCACTCCACTTCGGCAGCCCAGGGTTCGCAGGTTCAGATCCTGGGCGCAGACCTACACACCGCTCATCAGGCCATGCTGTGGCGGCATCCCATATACAAAACAGAGGAAGATGGGCACAGATGTTAGCTCAGGGCCAATCTTCCTCACCAAAAAAAAAAAGAGTGGGAAAGCTTTACTGCAAACAGATTTCTTATCCAATATCAATGAGTCTAGCTTATAATATATTATACAACTATTTTAAATGTCTTCCTGGAGTGGCAGGCTTAGCCTTCTGCATGACACGATCCTGGCTTTCTTCTTTACCTTGACCCTGCCTCATTCAGTTGCCTAAAGTTTATTCATTAGTCTTAAACAATCTTAATCATGTGGCCGCTAGAAGATTTTGAAAAGTATATAGCTCTGCACATTTTCTGTCATCTAATGTTTTCTCTATAATTTTGAACAGCTGCAAAGGGCATAATTTCCCACATGTTAAAATATTGATATTTTAGAATAAAATTGTAATATCACTCTTTAAAGAGTTAAAACTTTATTCTAAAATAAGTATTATAATTATTAATACATAATTAATGAAAGCAATAGACTTCGAATTGTTCATTTGACTGGCCCCCACCCCAGAGGTTATCACACCAGAGGTCATAACACCAGAGGTTCACCTGAGGCTATTATACCACAAGGGATTACACCAGATGTAATTATGCCAGAAGTCATCACACCAGAGGTCATTCCACCAGAGGTTACTGCCCCATACTAAGACTCAGGATAAGAGAGAGGTGTGTCTTTTGTCTGGAAGAGTGGCAATTTTGAACAGAGAGGTGGGAAAAGAGAATATGCTTGAATCACTGACATAATTAATTTTCTCCTAATGCGGCATCAGTTCTTAAGGAATAAAAGTAGAGCTAAAGTTAACTGTTTTGTGTTGTGCCTACTCTATTAGTTTTAGTGAACAAGCTTACCACAGACTGCCCAAAGACTTGAGCAAGTTCCTCAGACGCAAGCAAATCTCTTAAAAGAAAGGGACATTCCTTCCCAATCAGTAAAAATACCTAAAATTCAAACAAAAATTGTATAACAATTGCATTACAATGAGCCAAATGATGTTAAGAACTAAATCACCCATAGAGCAACTGTTTGTACAAATGAGGAGAGAAAAGTACCGAAGACACCAACGTTTTGATTTCAAATCAATCAAAAAGAAAAATATTTAAAATCTGTGCCAAACGATTTTATTTTATAGGAAAACAATCACTAATACAAAAAAAATCTGAGTGCAACTGTAAAACGGTTTAACATTCATTCAGATACTTTAATGGACTAACACTGAAAGAGTTCTCACACTTACATCTCCCAAGGTTCGTTCCAGACACGATGTCAGCTTCATTAAGCCGAGAGAAATAGCGGGAGATTGAAGACTTTCCAAAGCATCAAATATTTCAGGAAATAACTGTTTAGAATAAGACATATGTTAGAATTTGTGCTCAATAAGAAATATTTCTCAAAGTTAACAATACTATTAATGAAATTCAAACCTCTAAAGATTTCATTTGGGATATTTCAATGACTTATTTGGTATTGGTAAACATTTTCTACATAAATATAACAATATCTAGAGAATCAAGAAAAATATTTTAATATCTAAGGAGTTTTTGAAAGTTCTTTATTTAAATGTTTATTGAAAGCAATAAATCTGGCATAACCATAAATCTAAAAGTCAAATATTTTGAACTAAATCTTATTTCCCATTTTGATTAGTTCTTAAAAATAGATAAACATAGGCAGCTCACTCTGCCACTTATGAGAGCTATTACAAAGGGAGAAGTGACGATCCTTCTGCTCTTCGTTAGGAAATTCAAAGTATTTTAGAACTAAACTTTTATAGTTACTGCTCTACTGTGGTCATTGAATGTGCCAAGTGAAATGGTTGGTTTGAACCAACTAACCAAAACAAGGTTTGGGTGTGGCCCCAAACTACCCTCCTCCCTTCCATTCACCCTCACCAAACCAAGCATCCCATCTCCAGCCTCCTGGTCCCACCGTCAAGAACACCTTACTATCTGTCCACAAGGTCTTTCTTTTTTTCTGGAGTGGTCCATATTTATCTGTCCCAGGACAGCACTCATACACCAAGCTACCTCCCCAACTGTTGGTCCTGATACTGCATCCAAAACCTTCCTTTGTTCAGAGTACGCGCTTCCCAGCTCAGGCTTCAGACACTTTGACTAACAGTTCCGAGTTTCCCTGCAACCCTAACCCTTCATCACACTTGGAGGGCCCAGAGAATAGAGACCCCTTTACAATTACCAAGTAATAATGGCCTCTAAGTGGAATTTGCAAAGTCTTTTCTTTCTAAAGGTTGTTCAAAGAGCCAAACCTCTGGAAAACTTGTCCACTGGAGCCATGGTGCATATCGAATTTCAAACTGCCCCTTGGTCAAAGATAACAAATGTGAGTGGACGGCCTCACACACAGGGCCCAGCAGCCTTACGCTTCCCCAATAATCCAGATCCTGGGCTTCAAGGATGAGAAAACAAGTTTTAGTACCACAGTCCCATATCAAGTGATGAAAGATGTCAACATTATCAAAGAAAAAGTGCTTTAATTATGAAATTTTCAAAAATCAACAACCAGTTTATAGTTGGAACTTACAAAAAAGATGCTCATATATTATCAGAAATAAGTTACATAGTGTTTATCTGATCATAAGAGAAAAATATACTATCAGTAGAGAATCTGGAAAATACAGAAAGGTTTCATACAAAAGAAAAAACATATTCTTCCATTTCTTTACCTGTATAAAAGTTTACACAAAATCAGGTTCATACTGTGTATACATAATATTTTAACCTACTTTTTTTCCTTATATTATTAGACTGTGAGATTTCCAGTGACATTATTTTAGAACATATTCATACTATGACTTCTTTGTTGTTTTTATTTTTTTGGTAAGTTTGGAGCTGAACATTCACATGGGTCACAACCAAAAAATATAAAAGGTGCGAGTCTCCCTACTGGTGGCCCAATTCTCCTTCCTATAGCAGCTTCTGTTACTTACTCCTTGGGTAATCTTAGAAATATTTATATATATACAGGTAAATACAAATATATGCTCCTCCTTTTCACTTAATCGTAAAGCTCAAAGAGATTTCTGTACCAGAAAGATGGGCCTACTCATTCTTTTTCACTGCTGCATAATAAATCCCTTGTGTGCATTTTTCATAATTTACTTAACCAATCTCCTACTGCTTGACATGTTTCTTCTTTTTTGCTATCACAAAATGCTGCAAAGAGGAACCTGTGCAAACACTCTTTCATATCTCTAAATGTGCCCGTCTTATAAATTCTTAGATGGAATTGCTGGGCCAGAACACATTCATTTGTAATTTTTATAACTATTATTAAATTTCCCAATCCAATCCCCGCTCCAAAAAACGTACAATGCCTGGAAGACATGTAAAATAACTTAGTAATGTATTGCTGGTCATTTCATACCCTTAATTCACATGACTTCTACTTTATTCCCATTTCTCCCCAGATTACTGGCCTTGAGTCGAGACCTATGTCACCCACAGCCCCTCCACCCTCCACCGCCTCCTGACCCCTCCTTCTCACACAAGATTTTCTTAGCCCAGATTTCCATTAACTCTTCTATGGTCTCTGGCCTCATTCCCTCACTTTTCACACTGATTCCTTTTCTCTTTTGAGTTAGGCCTATATTACAACATCCTCTAACCAAAAGAAGCAATGGTCAGAAAGGGAAACTTTACAGGTCGAGACACTTTAAATGCAACAGTTCTGACAGGTGTGTTTGGGGGGCAGAGAAAGTACGAACCTGACTCTCTATAAACCACACAGTCTGTAATTGTCTGCCAGCACACTTCACCATTCTGAGTTACAATACTATTGATATCACAGTGTTCTCTGACTTCAAACCCGAGTTTACACATCATATCATACACTGAGGGAGAAAGACATGTGCTAATAGGATCCTCTATTAATGTCTGAAATATAAAACATACAAGACAATACTTAAGAGTAGGTAAAAACAAAGGAATATTAATTATACATTTAAGTCACAACAAAATTCTATTCTATCTTAAGTACACAATATACTCAGGTATAGCTCCTGTTAACACACTTTCTGGATATCATGAGAGCTGTATGATTAAAACGTTGTGATTAAACATTAAAGATAATTTACGTAAATCTTTTCAAATAAAAGTTTAAAGATTTAAAACTATTTTATTAATATTTGTTAAGATATGAGTTTACAAAAGCTCAGTGCGTTTTATGGACAGCATTCCTTTACTATCCCAAAGTTACTGAAATAAGCAATTTTTTTATGGGGAGTGGGAAAGCAGAAAACCAAGCATAATGTACTAAAATAGAAGTAAAAAGCATAACCTCTCCTCCCTACGTGGTATAAAAAGCAGCAAACCACACTGCTTTTTCATGAAGGATTAAACAAAACCAAAATCCTCATAATTATCCCCACACTACACTAAGATCATCCTATAAACCTGCAAAGTTACACTCTGAGTCTAAAACTGACCAGGGCGGGGGCCGGGGGGGCGTCTGTGTGCTAGCATTAGTGATGTAGTCCTGCCACCTCCCTACCTGGGAAGCAGGGCAGTTTAATTCCTCCATCCTCGGTATCACCCTGGTACCCTGTTGGCTCTTCCTGTGCCCCAGAAGCTTCACTTCCCACTCTCAGCCCTGGGTGTCAACCAGTCCTAGCAGTTAAGGTATGCACAAGAAACTTGTATCGAATATGCAGCGATCTGTGTGACTCTGTAGACCACATCTTGCTCAATGAGTCGGGACACTCGGAGGGACACAGGAAGACAGCAGTAGGAAGAGGGGACTTGCTCCTGCAGCCTGGGGACTTCCTGTCCACTTTCTAGTACTTTGAGCATCGCCCCAGCAGCAGCAGTGCCTTCCGCTGCAGCAGCAGCTGAATCCAGTCTGCAGTTTTCCTGACACTTGTAGGCCAAGCTTCATCACCGTGCCCCCATGAGAGACAGCCTCACATGTCCTGCCTCCTCCTCCAAGGCCTGCTTCCCAGACTCACCAGGCCCCTCCACATAGCTGAGCAGCACAAGCTCCTCCTTAGAGATCTGAGTTTCAGCTACGAGGGGACCTTCCACTAAGTTTAAGTTTTCAAATTCCAACCACTTCTCTTAGTTTCCTCTTAGTCCTATGGGTAGTGACTACTTCCCACAGCTGCCACTTGCACAATACTTTTAGAGATCTCCTTTTATCCTTTCAGATACCTAGTTAACAACTTTATACCTAGTTAACTCTATATTAAATTCGCTCAGTTTAAAAACTAGTGTGGTTTATCTTCCAGCTGATAAAGAAATAGAACTCTAACGGATTATTTTCACATCAAAAAGGACTTCTTGCATTTTTAAAAAGCAGTCAAACTCTAAAGGAATGGGTTGTAGTTTTGGAGTGACAGGTGGCAGGCAGAAATGATATTTTCCCACAAAAGCCCATCTACTCCACTACTAAAGCAGGCCCTGGATATGGCAACTGAAGTTGTAAGAAAGGTCTTTCTTTTGGTTGTAGACAATCTACCAACACAGTTGCCCCTCAGCCTCAAATTGTAAGATCCTGGAGAACAGAGACCAGGTCTTATACAACTCTGCACCCCCAGGACATAGCACAGTCCCTGGCACACAATAAACGGATAAGAGTTAATTGACTGACTGGTTCCTCCCACCCTGAGCTGAAACACTCTCCAAATCTCCACCACTTTCAGCTTTCGGGAATGACTACATCCCACCCCCTACCAACAGATGCACAATTCTAGAAGCTGGCTTTTAGATGAACTTTTAAGCCCATCCTCTCTTGGACAAGAAAAGCCCCCACTGTTAATTAAGATATAAAATCCAACGTCAAATCTACACAGGTGAGATGCTGTAATACTTCAACTTTCCTGTGTGTTATGAACAAGCGTGTCCTCGCACTAGGAGCCAGAAACCCTGCCTGTTCGCGTGAGCACGCACGAGTGCAGCCACCACACCCTTATCCTGATTCTTCGGGGTCTGCCCAGGGCAGCCTGCGCAGCACAAAGGGCCCGGGCTCGGAGCGGAAAGGCTCAAATTCGAATTCTTCCTCAGATTTTCTACCTCTTGCCTTGAAAGTTATGTAACACGTCTGAGCCTTAGTTTTAACTGTAAAGTGTGCAAAATACTATTACCTTCTAGTGCTGCAGTCACTAGAGATAATACTTGAGGAGCATCTGGCACACAGCACCCAAGACGCAGCAGCTATTGCTAACACTCGAGTCCGGTCTCCAGCCATCCACGACACCCTGCGACTCAGCTCTACGTCACGGGACGGCCTCAGCCGTGGGCTAATTCCGACCGCACGTGTGCACGCGGAGGCGGTTATCACCGCGCGCTCCTGCCGCAGGACCCCGCGTGCCACAGATAAACCTCCTCAGGGGCGAGCGCCGCGGGGGGAACACGCACCAGTCACCCCACCGCGGGCCCAGAGGACCCGGCCGTCACAGCCTTAGAGCCGGCAGCCTCCGAACGCGCGCGGACCGTCACGTTAATTCTCACACTATCCGCAAACGTCACTCCGGGAGCTGACGGGGAATGGGGCCAGGAACAACCTAGGGTCGGGGCGGCGAGGGAGAAGGAGGGCTGCGCTTCGGGGTCAGGGCCAGGAGCCCCCTCACTCCGGCCGCGTTGGGCGCGTGAGGCCGACCCGCGCGCAGGCGCAGACATGGCAAGGGCCCGGGACCGCAGCCAGGTAGCTGCTCTGAGCGGATGGCCTTGGGCGGACCCTCCCGAGCGCCCCGCCAAGGCCGCCCCGCCGGGAGGGCCGGGCGAAGACGGAGGCACACCCCTCCCGCTCTACCTCCATAACTTCCGGCTCCCGGCCCCCGGCGCCGCGGGATGACGCAAGCCTCGCCCCGCCCCTCCTTCTGGCCGCACGTCCGGCTGGGGCGGCGCAGGCGCAAGACCTTCGCTCTCGCAGGAAGCGTTGGGAGCGGACTCGGACGTTGGGCTTCGTGGATAGTGGGGCGGGATGGAGAAGCGAGCCCGAGGCGGGAAGCCGCCCTCCAACCAGGCCTCTCAGCCGCCGCCGCCGCCTCGGAAAGAGAGGAGACCGAGCATGTTCGAGAAAGAGTCTGTGAGTGCGGAGACGGCGGGGGGCGCTCCCGGTTCCCCTCCACTCCGACGAGGGCGGCGCGTCGCTTCCGCTGCGGAGCGGAAGTCCGCGGCGCCGCGCTGAGGGCCGCGTCTTCGCGGTTCACGGTGGAGCCGCGCCTTCCTCTGTTAAAGGAGCTGACGCGGTCGTCTGCGGTTCTGTTCAGACTTTTTCAGCCTGCGGATTTCCTGAGTTTTGTCGCTCTTCACAGAAATACGTAATTCTGGCATGTTTAGTGCCATCACACCAACCAGAGGTGGTTTTACCCGCCGAAAAGGAGTGTAGTGTGTGTGGTGTATTGAAGAAAAGACAAGTGTCTGATGCACCAGGCAAAGCGATGAGATGTTTTGAGTTTTTAAAAACAGCAGCACTGTTGGTATTTGGAGAATATACGGGAGAAAAGTTAAATTGAAAATATTTTGTTCCTTAACTTGTTTGAAATTATGGAAAATGTTATTTGATTTATTGGTGGTATGATGCCAGGATTTCTATATGACGTAGTCCGAAAACCATGACTGTAATCGAGACTCCGTATTTTATTGTGATTTTCAGGGAAAAAACAGTTTGTGCAAGGATACAAAACTGTGTAATGATAGAGCTGAGACTAGAATCTGTGTTCCAGATTTCTGGTCCACTGGTCTGTAATGGTTTCTTTTCATAGCGACTTCGTGGGACCCGTGATTGATAGGGAGAAGGAGAGAGAACAGGCAAAACACTACTTTTTGAAGATCCTAAAACATTTCAGGTAACAGAGAATCCTCAAAAAAAGTCATGGCAGTATTTCACGTCCTAATGACAGCTCTTTGGTTTCTACATTTTACAGAGGAAAGAACAAACTAAGGGAAGAAAAATAAGTAGACCGGTTTCACACAACTAACAAAAGCAGAGCAAGGCTAGAAACCTTAACCTGTCGGACTTTAAATTTCATGTGTCAGAAATTGCCGTATTGCCGGGCAATAAGTTGAGGCAGACAAAGGTGCCTTTTATAACCTTACTGCCTGATAAAAGTCTGGAGAAGTCTTGAAAAATGAGTAAACCTGAATCCGAAAGGAGGAGACACATAGATACGCTTGGGATATAGGCCAAAATCTGGGAATAAGGAGCAAGGCAGTTCTTGATCTGGATGTGATCAGTTATAGTTATCTTTAAAATCTAGGCTTCTAGAGGTAAGAAAGTTTGAATAACAATTGGGAAGAGACTGAGAAAGGATTCCACATATGCTCACTAAATGTCTAAGGACAATGAGTACACTAATGAGTCATTTCTAACTTTCATGTAGCTGATAATTCCCGTGTTCCTGAGCATAGGAAAAATTAGGACATACAATTTAGTCGATATAAACATCTTTTGATTTTATCTATCTTGGATCCATTTCTTTTTTTCTAGTAGTAGCACCTCAATTTTCCTTTGGAGAATTAACTCATCTCCCATTGGATAGAGTTTTGGTGGGACTGTGGCTTGACATGAGTACAGCCATCTTTGGCTGGTCCATGAACCTACAGCCACCAACACACAAAGGAATATAAAGCGGCTTTCTGTGTGGTGGGAACTGGCCCTTCTCCTGCAGAGATAATTGCAGTTTGTAACATTAGAAGACTCTTTGGGCGTTGTAGCCTGTGACGGACTGGGCATCTGTGCTGAGCTAGGGCGATAACCAAGGAGCTTAATGCATGTACACAAGTGCCGGCCTGGGACCACAGCCAAGGGGCAGTTGTACACAACTGATAACCATTTGTACATGAGAACACCAAATGCTTACTCTGCAGATGTTTACTCTGGAGATTACTCATGCTATACAAGCTACTGGAAACAGGCCTGATGAGAGTCTCGCCTGTGGGGGGTTGCCTTGCCTAGGACCTCTTTCCATCAGCACTTCCGCCTAGCCTTGTCGGTTAAAGGGACTGTCCCCGATGTAAGGGCGTGGATGTTGTAAGTACCCAATCTGATCTTTCTCTCTGATCTGATGTTTCTCTTTTTCAATCGATCTGATGGTTCCTCTTTTTATTGACTGTTCGGCTTATTTTGCTAACTTTTGCTTTACCTTTCCCTTTATAATAAAGTGTGTGTTCAGTGCATTCGTTTGGGTTGGAAAGTTTCTTTTACGTCTCAGATCGAATCCACCGAACTTCTTACAACAGACTGTCAGTCACTTTCCTTAACTTTATGGTAAGGATGAGACCAAAACTAGGCTAATTAGATGAACTCTTCCTGGAATAATGTCAGAAAATGTTTGAGATTAATCCAAATTGAGGATGGCATACTGTAGGGCCTGGTGTCTGGTTCTTTGGCCTTCTCTTCCGTTCTGTGAGCTACTCCATATATTTCCAATTAATTACACTTTTGCTTAACAAGAATCAGTTCCTGTTGCTTGCAACCAAAGATCCAAAAACTTTAAATAGATTACCAAAAATTAAAAACTTGATTAGTCTCACATTTGAAAATCTTAAATACCAGCAAATAGCATTTAGAAATACATTAATGTGTGGCATCTCATGACCAAGCTTAGTTTATTCTAGGATCATAAGTAGGCTCAAAGTAAGGAAATGCCATATTAATAGGTTGGATGAGTGAACTCTGGTTATTTTAGTAGATTCCAAAGAGTCAATCATTTAAAATCTATACCTAGGGGGCCGGCCCAGTGGCACAAGCAGTTTAGTGTGCGCACTCCGCTGCGGCGGCCCAGGGTTCTCGGGTTCGGATCCTAGGCACACACCGGCACACCGCTTGTCAAGCCGTGCTGTCATGGCATCCACGTAAAGTAGAGGAAGATAGGCACGGATGTTAGCTCGGGGCCAATCTTCCTCACAAAAAAAAATAAAAATAAAAAAATAAAATTTATACCTAGTTTTTAGAGGTAGTTATACAGATTCTTCCTTAATAAAGGGATGCAATACTCTTACTAAAGAGAATACTAAATCAGAAGGCCAATATAATGAAGAAATTGTAGAGATGTGAGTTTTCAGCATATTAGAATAAGTTATTTTCAAATGACGCATGCCATGTCCTCAAGAGAATCATTGCTGTTGGAAGCCACTATTAATGATACGATGTAGTTGTATTCTTTGAGTATATTGTGGGGGTAAAAAGATGACGATTACTCTAGAGAAGCATTGTCTTAATAAAAAACAAAATTTGTTTTTAAAAGGGTTAGGGAGCTAATAGTGCCTCTCTTCCCCAACTAAAACATAAAGCAGTCTGACAGATGATCAAAACAGCAGGTTTATTTCTGGTGAGGGACTACCTCTAGCAGCCAACATGAAGTAACTCCTACCAGAAACTACTGAAAAATAACACAAAATGTGTGAAGCAATTGTTTCCATTGGTTGGATGTAAGGGCAGACACGATAGTGACTTCTGAGAGAGGAGAAACAGAAAAGGTGAGCCCCAAGATTTCACCTAACTTACTGCCTGGTGAAGGATTCCAGCCCACACCTTATGGCGAGATCTCCGTTAGTTGAGAAGGATTTGGGAGCCAGAGTAGGTCAAGGTGTGAGTCTGCATAACAGAGAGATCTGAGGATTTTCCAGAAGTCTTCAGCTTAGTGTATCAGTACATCTGGTGAGGAAAACACATGTGGCCAGACAATGAACCACCCAAAAGGAGCATTAAAAAATCCTTGGACTTACGCAAAATAGTTTGTGTTCCCACCAGGAAGAGTGGAAAATCATGTAAATCATAGGACATTTGTTAGAGTGCTAAGAAGTGTGTTGTCTCAGGGCACTAAAGTCGTTATTATAAAATAGTTTTTGTATTATATTTTCATCAGATTAAAGCAGTTATATAATGTAAAAGTTATGTTCTGTATGTTCAAGCATATAGAGGAAAGATTGAGCGTGTTAAATCCAAAATAAACTTCTACAGATATAAAATGCAATGTCAAATATGTAAAATACAGTGAGTGGAATTTATAGCAGATTTGACACTGCAGAACAAAAGAGTGAATTTAGAGACACCAATGGTAAGAAAATCGGAAAAAAAAATATTAGGAGACATCAATAAGCTGTGGGAAAATTTCAGGCAAAAACTGAGTTCTTATATTTTGAGTCTCCAGGAGAGGAGAGGAAAGAGGACAGACAAAAAATAGTTGAAGAAATAATTAGTGAGAAATTGCCAAATTTTATGAAAACTGTAAACCCGCAAATCCAAGAGGACAATGAACTTCAAGCAAAAGAAATATGAAAAAAATTATGCTGAGACATAATAATAGTCAAATTGCTTAAAATCAGTGATTTAAAAATTTAAAGGCAACTAGAAAAAAAAATTGGGGTACAGTCATGCATCACTTAATGACAGGGACATGTTCTGAGAAGGGTGTCATTAGGCAATTTCATTGTGCAAACATCATAGAGTGTACTTACACAAACCTAGATGGTATACCCTAGTATCCGCTTAGGCTATATGGTATAGCCTATTGCTCCTAGGCTACGAGCCTGTACAGCATGTTACTGTACTGAATACTGTAGACAATCGTAATACAATGGTATTGGTGTATCTAAAAATAGAAAATGTACAGTAAAAATACAGTTTAAAAGATTAAAAAATGGTGCATTGTATAGAGCACTTACCATGAATGGTGATTGCAGGACTGGAAGTTGCTTTGGGTGAGTGAGTGAGTCAGTGGTGAGTGAATGTGAAGGCCTAGGATGTTACATTGCTGTAGACTTTATAAACACTGTACGCTTAGACTACATTAAATTTATTTTAAAAAATTTCTTCAATACTAAATTAACCTTAGCTTACTGGAGCTTTTTTACTTTAAAATTTTTTAATTCTTTTAAGTTTTTGACTTTTAGTAACATTTAGCTTAAAACACAAACACATTGTACATCTGTACAAAAATATTTTCTTCATATCCTTATTTCATGAGCTTTTTCCTGTTTTTAAAATTTTTTTCTTTTTAAACTTTTTTGTTAAAACTAAGACACAAACACACCCATTAGCCTGGGCCTAAAGAGAGTCAGGGTCATCAATATCACTGTCTT